GGACTACACATACAACATACCTACAAGGACTACACATAAGACATACCTACAAGGACTACACATACAACATACCTACAAGGCCTACTTACAAGACATACTAATAATAGGGCCTACCTACAAGGGTCTCTATTATATAGATTTAGCGGTCATAGATATTTTCAATTTTTTGATGCAGTTACCATTTCAAATATATTACTCGTAATAATTTATGGTTCTTGGTCACCACATTCTACAACATCCCGCATTGAGCTACAAAACCTACTTATAAGTCTTACTTATGAGCCCTATACATACTGCAGGGTGTGAAATTAACGGGAGTCCGGAGTCAAATACTCCCTGATTTACTGTCGGACTCCCCGATTCGACATATGCAGGAGTCCGTGTAACTCCCTGACAATTCTGCCATTCTAACTAGTTCATTCCAGAGGACAGCCTCGTGGAATTACGGTATTTCTTCAGTAAATGTCCAAAGAAAATTTGGCAGACGTGCAACCGCATGAATCTTAAAAATAAGCACATGTGTTATTGTTAATATCTTTAATTTTGAACCTCAGACTGCGGACTCCCTCATTGTGCTGCGGACTCCCTCTTTTTGAGGGTAGGGAGTCCGTTGGACTCCCGTGTTCAAAAGTTCATTTCTACCCCTGTACTGCATATATAAGACCTGCTCCCCTGTAGCCCTGCACCTACCTGCAGCACGTTACAGAGCGCGATCCTCGACGCACGGGCCGCCACGTGACCGAACAGCCGCGCAGCAGCACCGACGAAGCAGGCCGGAGCATCAACCCGCCGCATCAGCGTTGCCGCGGCAACGAGCAGGTCGACCTCGACGACCTCGGGTCGGCGGAGGTCGCGCTGCAGGAAGGGCAGCAGCAGGCGCACGACGGCGGCGCACTGCGACGACTCGCGCACGAGCGCGCTCGCCCGCCGCAGGATCGCCAGCTCCCTCTGGGGGTAGCGGCGGAGGCGGCCGCGGTGGCGCGCGAGTCGGTCGACGACGAGGCGAAGGTAGTCGAGGATGGTGGGAATGTGAGGCATCAGCAGCGCTATACACACTTAATTCGTGATTTTGATATTCGTAATGGGCACAGGGCATGAACATGAAGAAATTTGAAATACTGACACCAGACCATTGGTCTATTAGCAAAGAAAGTAAAAGAAATGATACTATTTCCCTTACCCAACCAAATGAAAAATAGTGAAAAACTTGTGATTTATTAGGAATGTGAGTTGTGTTCATCAGCCACCCACAATTCCACACTTAAATCACACTTTCCAACCTTTATCTGCCTATATATGTTTTTACGTTGTATGATTTACTCTGCATGCCACTGCAGTTAGAAACACGTTGTGACCATGCTAACATATAACAGAGAAAAATGACATAAATGAAGGCTATGGTTTCATTACCTCACTCTTGTGCTTGATGCCTATCTTCACCTGGGCTAGACAGTTGTCATCAATGAGTATTTGCATGGTTCTCGGTGTGACATTATCCTTGACACTAGCTAGATGGACGATGAGCTGCTGCAGGCAATGTGAAGCGCTGTCCCTCAAGGACATGTCGTCGGACTATAAAAATCATTTAGAATAAAATTGATCTTTAGCATGTAAGATGTAGCAAACATTTGTCGACAAATTAAAAATGCTGTTAATTAAGTAAAAGTCTGGTATCATTGTACCAGTTTGTACATTGTGTCCATTTTGTTATCTTTGATTTTTCAACGTAAGGTCGTTAGGGCACAATTGTAATGTGGTAATAAACTTCTTCTTTTTTTAACTGTGGCATTGAGCAAATTAAAATCTCACGTATTTGAGAAAGACCCCTTTCGATAAGTAACAGTATCAACAAAAAAAGACAAAAAATAATTAAAATTAATAATAAAAATAATCAAATCACACGCGGCACTCCAATGCACTGCTTACGGTACTAATGTAGAAAAAGCAGTTGTGAATGACAGTCAGCAGGAATCCCGTGCCGCACTCCGTCTCCATGGCAACCGGCTCCATGTCTCGCACGACGCGGTTCGCCTCGTGGAACGCGCTCAGCCGCGTCTCGTAGTCGGGCTCGTCGAGACGCTTCCGATCCCAAGCGTTGAGACGCGTCGCGACGCTGGCGAGAGACGAAGCCTGGCCGTCGCCGGCGGCGATCGCCTGGGAAGCACGAAGGCAAGGAAGCCGTGAGACGATCACACGTTCGCGAACCTCACCGGGCTGCGGCACAGACTGCCACGGCCCCCCTCCTCACGTGCCCCGCAGTGCTGCTCCCAAGCGGATGACACCTGCGGTGATACGTCGGGCTTTTCACAAGTCCTGCCTGTATAATGACTTCCTACAAGGGCTACCTATGATATACCTATAAGGCCAACATAAGGCCTCCCTATTGTAAGGTTAACCGATTAGGACTACACATAAAACATATCTACAAGGACTACACATAAGACACACCTACAAGGACTACACATATGACATACCTACAAGGACTACACATAAGACATACCTACAAGGACTACACATAAGACATACCTACAAGGACTACACATAAGACATACCTACAAGGACTACACATAAAACATACCTACAAAGCTAACACCATAAGACATGACCTACAAGGACTACAGCCATGAAGCACATACCGTACAAGGACTACATCATAAGACACTACACTGCAGGACTTACACATAAGAACATGCCTAACCAAGCACTACATATACATACATACTACAAGGACTACACATAACGACCATACCTAAAGGACTACACATAAGACATACCTACAAGGGACTCACACATAAGACATACCTACAAGGACTACACATAAGACATACCTACAAGGACTACACATAAGACATACCCTCAAGAGGACTACACATAAGACATACCTACAAGGACTACACATAAAACATACCTAAAGCAAAGACTACACATAAGACATACCTACAAAGAATACATGTAAGGCCCTAACTTACAAGCATACTAATAGGCCCTACCTACAAGGGTTCTCTATTATTATAAGATTTAAGCGGTCATAGATATTTTCAATTTTTTGACTGCAGTTACCATTTCAAAATCATATTACTCGTAATAATTTATCGGTTCTTAGGTCACCACATTCTACAACAGGTCCCGACATTGGAGCTACAAAACCATACTTATAAGTCTTACTTATGAGCCCCTATACATACCTGCAGGTGTGCTGAAATTAACGGCGAGTCCGGAGTCAAATACTCCGCTGATTTACTGTCGGACTCCCCGATTCACATATGGCAGGAGTCCGTGTAACTCCCTGACAACTTCTGCCCCCATTCCTAACTAGTTCATTCCAGAGCACAGCCTCGTGGAATTACGGTAATTCTTCTAGTAAATGTCCAAAGAAAATTTGGCAGACGTGCAACCGCATCGAATCTTAAAAAATAAGCACATGTGTTATTGTTATATCTTTAATTTTGAACCTCAGACTGCGGACTCCCTCGATTGTGCCTGCGGACTCCCATCTTTTTTGAGGGTAGGGAGTCCGTCTGGACTCCCGTGCTTCAAAAGAGTTCATTTCTACCCCTGCTACTGGCATATATAGACCGCTGCTCCCCTTCGTAGCCTGCACCTTACCTTGGCAGCACGGTTACGAGCCGCGATCGCTCGACGCACCGGCCGCACCGTGACCGAACCAGCGCGCAAGCAAGCTCCCGACGAAGCACGGCCGCGAGCATGCAACGCCCGCCGCATCAAGCGTTGCCGCCGGCACAACGAGCACGGTCGACCTCGACGCACCTCGGCCGTCGCGGAGGTCGCGCTGCAGGCAAAGGCAGCCGCGCGCACGACCGCGGCCGGGCACTGCTGGACGACTGCAGCACGAGCCCTCGGCCCGCCGGCAGGATCGCCAGCCTCCCTCGGGGGTACGGCGGAGGCGGCCGCGGCGGTTCAGCGGCGCGAGTCGAGCTCGACTGACGAGGCGAAGGTAGTCGAGGATTGGTGGCGAATGTGAGCGCCATCGCCAGCACGCGCCGGTTGCCCGAAACCTAACGTGGCAACATCGAACCCTGCAACAAGAGATGCATGCATATATACTAATATAATAGACGCAGAGCAAGGGACGCGCAGAGAGAAGGGGGGAGAGGAGAGCAGGGAGAGCGAGATGGGAGGAGAAGCGAGAAACGAGAGCGACGAATGGTGATAAGAGGGGAGAAAAAGGAGAGAAGGAGCGAGAGAGAGAGAGAGAGAGAGACGAGAGAGAGAGAGACGAGAGACAGAGAGAGAGAGAAAGACCGATGACGAGAGAGAGCGAGAGAGACACCGGAGAGAGAGAAGAGAGAGAGAGAAGAGAGGAGAGAAGAGAAGAGAGAGAGAAAGAGAAGAGAGAGAGAGAGAGGAAAAGAACCCGAGAGCGAGAAAGAGAGAGAGAGAGAGAGGAGAGAGAAGAGAGAGGAGAGAGAGGAGAGAGAAGAGAGAGGGGTGAAGAGAGAGAGAGAGAGAGAGATAGAGAAGAGAGAGAGAGAGAGAGGAAGAGCGAGAGAGAGCCAGAGAGCGAGCAGCAGCGACTGAGAGAGAGAGACGAGAGAGAGAGAGAGATGAGAGAAGGAGACGAGAGAGAAGAGAGAGAGAGGAGAGAGAGAGAAGAGAAAAGAGAGGAGAGAGAGAGAGAGAGAGAGGAGAGAGGAGAGAGAGAGAGAAAAAAAAAGAGCGAGAGAGAAAAAGGCCAGAAAAAGAGAGGGGAGCGGGGGAGAGGAGAGAGAGAGAGAGAAGAGAGAGGAGAGAGGAGAGGAGAGAGAGAGAGGAGGAAGAGAGGAGGAGAAAGAGGAGAGGGAGAAGAGAGAAGGAGAAGAAGAGAGAAAGGAGAGAGAGAGAGAGAGAGAAGAAGAGAGAGAGAGAGAGAGAGAGAGAGAGAGAGAGAGAAGAGAGAGAGAGAGAGGAGAGAGAGAGAGAGAAGAGAGAGAGAGAGAGAGAGAGAGAGAGAGAGAGAGAGAGAGAGAGAGAGAGAGAGAGAAAGGGTGAGAGAGGTAGGGCGAGTGAGTGCAAACTACCAAAGAGATAACTACCCAGCTAAACGAATAGCTGCACATGTAAATCTTAGGCAGACTGCGCGAAACCTCACCTGCAGCCTTGGCCGCGACGTTGACGTCCAGACAATGATTGACCTCTAGAGGAGGAAGCTTACTGCCCTCCTCCTCCTCCTCCTCCTCCTCGCTCCTCTCCTCCTCTGCCAACAGTCGCTCGACGATGCCCATGACGGCGCCCAGCACGCCAGCACTGACATTCTTCGCCGAGAGTAGTTGGAAGACATAGGCGAGCGGCGTCAAACCCGGGTTGTCCGCGTGGTGCTTTCCGAGCAGAGCGTGAAACCTGGGAGCAGAGAGAGAGAATTCGTCCTTGCTCTCGACATGATTAACTTCACACTTAATGCTCATAATAAATAATTATAAATCACAATAACTCATAATAAATACTTAAAATCATGAATCACAATAAAAAAACACACTGGATTGCAATTTTTTGATGGCAAAGGTTCATATGCAATTATTCGATTTTAAACATTCGACTACAATACGTGAAACTTGGGAAGTAAATGAGTTATTGATTTATTGAGTATTCGTCATGATAAAGTTCATAATGTCTTCATAATAATAATATTACAATGCAGGAAAGCTGAGAACGAAGTAAGATGTGTAGTAATTGTCATAATTAACTTATGTCTTCACAATAAACATTCGACGCAAATTCGATTCCTCATTTATATTAATGATAGCTTCCCTTTGACCTCTGACCTCAAACTCTTGCCTGACCCAACATTACTATATATGTATTGCAATATATCTAGCATCCTATGTAATTCAGGTGGTTATAAGTTATGAACAATTGAGCATTATGATTACATAATTCATTTACTGTATATTTATTATTTTCAATTTTTTTTATATCTTATTCTATATTACATGCGAGATAGGATTGAGGCATTTGATTGTTGCATTCCTTTTCGGTACCTTGGGTTCTCACTCCAGAGCTGGAACAGTTTTAATAGGACGGACGGATTATAGGCACTCTCGAACGCTATCCTGGGTAGCTGTGGCCAGACTGCTACCTCAAACACAGCATCCAGATCAGCAGCCGTGAACGGATACTTGTCGAATGACGTGAAGAACTATAACAAACAAACCAAACAAATGAAATCTCTACATATTCGTAACTTGCTGACTGCGCATGCGCTCATGATAAAAACAACAATCACGAAGGGTAACCTAGTCCACACATGGTTAAAACAATCATCACAAATGGCAACTTACTGTACTACACCCATGGCTAAAAGAATCATCACAATATACAACTTACTCCACCCACAATTAAAACAATCACAAATATACAAATATACCGAACAATAATCACAAATATGCAAATATACCAAACAATTAATGATCACAAATATGCAAATATACTAAACAATAATTACAAATGGTAATTAACCTATGTATCTGAGTAAGATAACCACAATCCCTTTGATACTGTTGCTAGGTTAGTCAAGCTAGACCAGTTTACACGTTTTTCGCCCGTGAACGCTAAAGTGGTGACTTTGCGACACTTCAATGCCAAGCAGCATTTTTAGAATGCCCACACCTATCAACCTCTCCTGACAGATAGGCCAGTATGTAACGGACATCGGTAAAATAAACATCACACCCAGCCATACTCACCTGCAAGATTCTGTTCAGGCACAGTCCTCTGATGTTTTTGAGCACATTGACGTATCGCGGTGCGACCTTCGTTCTGTCCTCTAGCGCTTGCACACAGATGCTTGCCAGACAGATGGTGATCTGAAACATCTCCGGTAGGTAGGATTCGATGCGCGCTCCCAGACGACTGAAGATCATGTCCAACGTGTTCAATACGCTGCAATAAATGCACAACAATATGACTGTGAACGCATCTAGACTATGAAAATGCAATGGCACTGCGGGGTTTGTTATAGACTGGTTCAGAATTTGCGTATTGCCACAACGAGTGCATATGACCTACATTTATGAAAGAGGATGCAAAGATTTGTACATTTGTAATGAGAAACTATCAAATTTCCGTAAAATCGTAGCTCAAATTGCTACATTACACTGGTGCATCAAAATGTCGTATCCTAAGCTTAAGATCGATCCTGAGCATCTAAATTCTTAGGGTGGCAACATTTTGTGACTCCGTCGTATAACTACGAAGAAGTGGCCCAGCTCCCAGTTACCATCAGAGGAGGGTTTCACGAATGACTACACAATGATTTAAACTCATTTCAACGTTAGGGGCTTTCTCCAAAATCTTGGTGGGCCATCCTAAGAGGCTACAGCAGTGCTTCTTAAGCTATTTCAGTGTCATTCACCCTCGAGTCTTTATCACAAAATTTCATTCACCCACAACTAAATTTCACAATGTTTTTGGTAATATTCGTCTACGTTTCATTCACCCTTGAGTGAACCATTCACCAGTTTAAGATGCACTGAGCTACAGAACCGGCATCTTCACAATTCCTCTTAGTAAGTAAAGTAAAAAATTAAGTAATCTTTATTTTCATCGGTACAGGACATACAGGGTATAAGCTCTTAAACCGATATCAAACAAATGTAAGATAACAAGTGTATGATAACAGAGTATATGGTAGTATGACATGACTTTTTTTGTTACATATAACATTTCAGACAAATACAATGATTGAATCGTTAGGTCATCGGATAATTATTGTCAGTGTGTACTATTGCCTACCTAATTTGTCTCTTCAGCGGGATCACTGCATGGTAATCAATGTCTCTCATTAACTGCTTCACTTTGGTGAAAGGATCATCTGCAATATATATGGATCATTATTAATGTTACTATTATTAAATCTTTATTGCATATATTTCAGATACAAGTACGTGTATTGAATACAGTGTTTCCAATAATGGGAAATTCTAATGGATGCACTAGTGTAAAAAGCTGTTAAATACTACATTCCCAAGTCATATACGCAATGCGATACAATATAATAAAACAATATTATAAAAGTTGGGGGCAGAATTTTGATCTCATTGATGAGAGGTAATGAGCTATGAAGTCTAATAATTTTTTTCTAATTTTTGCTATCTAAATAAACAAATAAATAATAAGCTAATAATAATAAAGGCTTTGTCTATGAATTTTACAATTCTATATTGTAATGCAGCAAGCCAAGCAATCAACCTATTACACTTTTTTCTACGAAGGGCCACATGCTTTGGCATAACAGCTTTTTGTACTACAATCTCAGAGAACACCCACACCCCTTACAATTAATAAAAGTAATAGAGGTAACATACTGTTATTTGCTAGTTCTAGACATTACAATCAGTGACTCACTGACAATACCTGACAGGAAATGGTGAAATGGCGTGAAGATCAAATCAATGAATGTCTTGAGCTCAACCTGCTGGCACGCTGCCAAGAAGCGTAATACAATCGACTTGCGCATGTTGGCATGCTTTGCACCTGTGGACTTGCTGCCGGTCTTTATCTGCATTTTCCCATATAGAATCCTGACAGGAAAGTGGATAAACGATGATGTACACCATATAGACTTTTTAACTACGTTTTATGAAATATTTATTCATTCCAAAAATAAGCATCTTTTAAAAGTCTAAAAAGACAACTCCACTTACGAAATTGGTTATACAAAAATGCTGGCTTTTTCAGTAATAAAACCTAGTTTCAAACAAATAATATCCAAGGTATCGCTGAAAACAATCAAATTGAATTATCAGTGCAAAATATGAACCTTTCTGCCTGAGCAAGATCTCCCACTACTCCAGTACTCTAGTGTTACAACAACCATTCTAAAAACAATGCCTAGCAAAGAGGTCCCACACGGTTGACATTTTTGAATGCACGCATGTAAAACCATACGTAAACCGTGTGATCTAGAGACCTAGCAACAATATCCAGTGTGGGGTAAATATCGAGCTCTGGCAGATTCATGGTCAATCTCGCTCAGGTCAATTGTCTTGCATAACTTTGAAAATGTCGTGTTAAAAATTCTGAAGTGTTTTACCTCATCAGGATGGGCAGCACACCTGCCCTATGCTGCTCTTCAATAGCAGGATTGTCCTCGGATACAGAGAAATGAACAATCTCAATCCTAAACGTCTTGTCATCTAGTAGACGCTCAAAGTTTTCCCTGAAAAAGACGTGCACATTCTAAAAAAACAGTTTTCATTTTCTAATAAGTAGAATTATAATCTCCCAATCTTAGAATGTTATCTTAAAATTATGATATTATTTAATTACGAATAAATATAGGTAGAAAATTACACTATTCAGATTTGACCACAGGTAAACTTTTACACACTATCCCCAGACGAATTTCATGAAGAAAAAGCTACACCATCCGATTTTGTGATGACCAATTATCATAAAATATTAGGAGGGTCAAACTGCCAGACAGACAGCAGCTGTAGAATGTGACTACAGTTAAACCTGAGTATGTGGACACTGCAGTGGAACGAACTCCTGTCTATAAGAGACATTCTTGGTGCTTCCCTTCAATGGCACCTTCACTGCAAAACCATTTCTACACAAAATTCGACCGTCTACACTGCTAAAACCGCTTCGATGGAACGAACTCCATCTATCGACATCGCCTTCCGGTGTTTTACCGTTGGTGCAACCCCTACCTGTACGGTGTGAGGTATGCATGCTTGTACGTCATCAGGCACACGAAGGCGGGACCCCTACCTGTACGGTGCGAGGTATGCATGCTTGTACGTCATCAGGCACACGAAGGCGGGACCCCTACCTGTACGTGTGAGGTATGCATGCTTGTACGTCATCAGGCACACGAAGGTGGGACCCCTACCTGTACGTGTGAGGTATCGTCCTGCTCTCTCTGCTCGTTCCTCATCTCTCTCTTCGTCTCTACTCTCCTCTGTCTCTCTCGCTCTCTCTCTCTCTTCTCTCCCTCTCTCTCTCCCTCTCTGCCTCTCTCACGCAGTGCGGTGATGGGACAGTGTGTTTTGCTTTGAGCGAGCAAACCGGTGCCAAGAATCGGACTAGCAGATATTGGATCTTTGGACGGGATCCCTCGACTTGATGATTAATTATTAGGAGCGGTATATGCGTGAGTCCGGTGTAGTGGCATCTACATTTTCTTCAGGATCTGTGTGGTGCTATATTCGTTGCCTTTATTACAATTAAGCAAGCATTGAAAGACCTAATAAATTTTGTGTTAACTCGCTCATCTTAGCAAGCGGAGCATGGCCTAATGGTTGCAAACTATATTACTTAATGTATGTACTTACGCAGCGAGACCCCCCCCCATGTACTTAGGCAATGCCTCCCTAGTGTCCTTAGGGCAGGGGGACCACTCCCACCTCGAGACCGCGACCCCTTCGCTTTCACATAACTGTCTATATAAGATGTGTTAGCATCAGAGGCTGACTAAGTTTCTTTGCCGGAGCAGACACAGAGTCCCCCCTCACTAACTGCTGTGCGTCGCTCATGTTTACGTTACGGCCGCCGTCTGGCCTCTATGTTCGTTAAGTTTCGTCTAGTTTTTAATGTTGATTAGCATTGCCTGTTTATTCCTTGCTGAACTAATGATGATACCTTCCAACGTGTAATTCAATTAAGTGTGTTAAAAACTAATAAAATTGAATTCGAATTGAATCGGTTCGTCTGCTTCGCTGCGAAGTGTTCTGCGCGATGCGGCTGCCCGCTGCCCGGCAGCCAGAAGAGGGCGCCGGGTGTAGTCGGCGCGCGTGACGGCCGGGAGGCGTTAACGCGTGTCTGAGGCGCGAGCGAGCTCACGCCCGGCCGTCAGTCGTGCAGACGTACCGCTGACGTGAATGTATCATCTGCCGTCGCTCTCGGACCCAGGACGTCGTCGCGCCAGACGGCCTGCCGCATCAGCCGAGCCAGTTAACACGACGGTACGGTAGCCATCTATCTCTCTGTTTGTGTTTGTTTGTTTGTTTGTTTTGTTTGGTTCTTTGTTGTGTTTGCTTGCTCTGTTTGTTTGGTTCTTTGTTTGTTTGCTTCTTTGTTTGTTTGCTCCTCTGTTTGTTAGTTTCTTTGTTTGTTTGCTCCTCTGTTTGTTAG